AAATGATGATGAAATAATTGTTGCTGAAATTAAAATTGGTCCATTTTATGTATGTAAGTTGTTACAAAAAATTGAAATTTTTGATAAAATGGCGAATCAAACTTGTAGTGTTGATGTGACTAAGGCGAATAAGATTTTTGATATTTTATTAAAAGATAAAAAATAAAATTGAGCGATGATCATAAATTGACTTCTTTAGAACAAAGAAGAGATCAGAAATATTGTAAGTTGCATAATATATATGGATATTGGACTAATAATTTTATTCATTTCAGGAACATGATACAAGATGCTATTGAACAAGGTTAATTGAAATTTGAAAAAACACCAATGACGGTGGATACTGATCCCTTCAAGGCTCATGTGGAGTATGTGGAAGTTAAACTTAATACTACTGATGGTGTTGAGAATCCGGTGAGTGATATGGGAATTCACATGGTGCATATTAATTCAGAAGATATCAATCCACGTCATGTTAAATTAGATGATGATGAAGAAGATTTTGAACTGGAGTTGGAGGATTTCAAAATAGAGAATGATATTTATCATTCAATAGAGGATACGTTAGCTGATTTCTTGAATTGAAAGAAAGAAAAAGATAAAGAGGTGGCGTTATATCTAAGATGTAGTGCAATATTCAATAAAGTTGATGCTAAAAAGTTCAAAGTGAATAAAAAAACAAGGAGTAATGAGAAACAAAGGCATAGTGTAGAGTGTTAGGATTAAAATTTGCATGTTACAATAAGAGATGACATCGAACAATATGTGAATTATCAATCATACTCAAAGATGAGGAACGATGGGTGGATTGGCGAAAGATTGTTTAGTCGTCGAAATACATATGGATCAAGGAATAGAAATGTCTTTGATAAATTTATCTTATAGTCCTAATTTTTACACTGGATACTATAAGTTTCTAAGAGGATTCCATCGAGGAGGTCCTTGGATGAGGGGAAACATGACATAACCCTTTTGGAAAAGGATATCAAAAGGGGGACATATGGGAAGAGTTGCATATCTTTTGATTGGAGGTCGGATATAAGTATGTCCCATGTCAAGAAGCCACTTCAAACTTTGATAAATTCGGCTTGTAGTCGTGGAGTATTTACCGGTGATTTTGATTTGAGCTAGCGTTGACCTTTAATATCCTTGGGTGATTTGCCAATTTTAGAAAATGGTGCGAGAATGATGAAAATTTCTATTTGGGCCAAAAGAAACTTAAGATAGCTTTTATACATAACACCATATGGCTTATAATGACAAGAGTGTCTTGTGGTTAATCAAATGTCTTACAATGGGTATAAGCAATAAGACTACCGATAATTGTAAGTGGAGGAAGACGTGATTCAAAAAAGAGCTACTAGCCATAGTTGGATGAACCATAAAGGGTCAGAGAGGTTGTTGCTAGGGCGATTGGAGCGGAAGATTTCTAGTGCTTCTTCGAAAGCAGCATAAATATGCATTAGTAGCAATTTGGCCAAGCAGATGTTAGAGTTCGTCGGTGTAGTAAATAGGCAAAATTATAATAATGGTGGGAAATTTGGATTGAACGGGGGCAAAAGATATGTGTACACAACTAGTACACAAAGAAAGCTACATGTTCTTAGTCAAAGACTTCGATGGAAGAATCATCAATGAAGTGTTCTTGGAGGAAATGATCATATGCTTTCATATTTTAACCAATTTTTTACTCGATCATTTTATCAACTAGAAAAACATTGATGTAGTATATCTCCCTAATGGGTTTAATACCGGTTATAGTAGCCACGTCGAACAAGATTGGGAAACGAGCCACAAGGAAGCTCAATCGCATGGAGATCTATATTCCAAAGTTGGAGTGTTGGGAGAAACATTGACATATCGAAATAGCCTATGTCGAAATGAGAAAAATAGAGGAAGTCATAAATACCAATCTTCCTCTTGTGATTCTTATATCGAGACTCAACCCTATCGAACCATTTAATATAGGTTGGTTTTTTTTCTGGGAAGGATCAGAACGATATAACTTGGACGTTTGGGAGAGAAAGTCTACCCTGAATTTCCCTTAAGGTTCTTGGAGAATACATTTTCCTTCTTTGGTAAAAGGAAAGTTGGCGGGTTCTTCATGATCAAGTATCAATGGTCCTCCGAAGGCTAATGGAACATCCCTTATTAAGTATGAAATTAGTACCTGGGTAGAACAAATTCTTTGGGTTTCCTCCAGTGGTCCATGACTGGTGCGAAAGTTTTACCATTTAGTTCAACACATTGAGTTTTAATAGGTTGGATGGTAGAAGTTTGAGAAGTTGAAGATGATGAAGCCAAGGAAGATACAAGTTGAGATTCAACTACGAAATAGGTAAGATGAGAGTGAAGCAATGGAGAAGATGTTGTTGAGAAACAATTTGCAAAGTAGGATAAGTGTGTAAGGATGAGGAAGATGAATAATTTTTAATTTTGAAAGAAACGATTTTTCTCGAGAAACCTAGTAATGTGATAGGCTTAATGTAGACCCATATCTAATAAATTGAATATTTTAAAATAAATTTAGACCAATGATGGATAAAAAAATGGATGATATAAACAATAAGATTTATTACGAGAATTTTGCATTTATGAGGGAAATAAAATGTAATGATGGAAACATGAGATGAAACAACTTTTTAATACATTTAGGGTATAACGTTTGAAGTTAATATAGAAGATATGAAAATATATATTCATCAAGATTTATATAGTATCCTTTTAAGGGGCATTTTGTTATGTCTAAAAATTACAAATAGATCGAAAGAATGAATCGAAAAGAGAAATATCAATAGTTGTAAAGAATAAATATGGTAATTGATAGAAGGTATGTTATGAAGATAGAAAAGTCATCCGTAGGTGTTATTGAAAGAGGAGGATTTAGGGGATATTGAAAAAAATCAGAGTATAATTAATCGAGAGTAAAAAATTTAAAGAGTAAGGAACATCAAAGCAAAAATGTCACAATGTATCGAAAAAATAGAATATCGAGAGGGACTATGTTTTATGGAGAGTTTTATGGAAATGGTTATGATCCGGTTCTTTGACATGCACAAATACAAGTGATATGTATTAATAAAGTGGAACGAAGGAAAACAATTTCAAGAAAATAATTATTTGAAGATTCTAGTTAATGATTTTATTTTTCAATTTTATTATTGATTTTTCTTACTTTACGTCACCTTGACGATTATATTAATATATATATATATATATATATATATATATATATATATATATATATATAGGCTTAAAATTTTGTCAAATTGTACGAAAAAACTTATATTCGGAAAAACACTATGAATAGGAAAATATATTTTCAATGGAGTTCTTTGTAATTTACATCACTACTTTTGTTGATTTCCTTCATTAATTTTTGTTTTTTATCTTTGATAATGAGTTAGATTTATCTTTTTGTCATTTATTTTCTTTGCATATTTACTTTCCAATAATTTACCTTTATTATCTTTTACTATTCTAGAAATTTACTTTTAATGTTTTAAATTATATTGGAAATAAAAATTGAATGCGAATGGTCTTTAGTTGAAATCTATTGTGTACTAAACTTTGAATAAATTTTAAAATTCACATAATGTTTAAATGATTGATCGCCTAAGTTACTAGTTACCTATTACATCGAACAACAAATCCTTTACACTAAAAATAGTAACAAATATTCATCTAGTGTGATGGTTATCTCACATAGATAAAAATTGTTACTCTCGGTGTCATATCTCCACAAAGACATATAATAAGCCCTTCTTTGTCATACTATAATTAGTACTCACAAGTGTGTGCTTCCAACCTAAATAATTGAATTGCGACCACAATCCGGGGTGTGGAACCCTTAACATGTTCATTTTTCTTTCATGATATTTTAATTCGTCATGATCCTACAAGAAAAAATATTTATTTTTAAATTTTACAATATTAACATTTATATACGAAGCTTATATGGGTGAAAATCATTTATAACTACCATATATTATGAGTCACATAATTTTCATACATAGACTCTCCTAAAAAATATTAATCATTTGTTAGAGATTCTTAATATTGCTCATCTATAATATTTTCTCCTTGGATTACATTCATACTTCTTAACAACACTTAATTCCTTCCAAACCCTTATAGAAGTAGTTGGACAAACACAATCTCTATGTTAAAAACATATCTTCTAGTCCCGATCATAATTAAAATTATCCTAAAAAATTGAGTTCATTATATAAGTTCAAATTTCTAGAAATATATTCTAAATTATCTCGTCTTCAAACTCATTTTGAGATTCGAGATTCTAAAAATAATTTCAGAATAAATAATTTAAAATACATTTTTGAATTATATATTTTAGAAATACATTTCAAATTAACCTTTTTCAAAACTTATTTTTTAATTAAATATTATAAAAATATATTCTAAATCATTTCAAAACTTATTTCTAAAATAAATAATCTAAAATGTATTTTCTCCTTACTTTTCGAAACGATGGAAATTAATTGTAAGTTTTTTTATTAAGACGACTCAAACTCCAAATTACTTGTACATTAAAATTTTTCTGGGACAACTAATCTCCTTCTTCTATTACCCAACTATTACTATTTTTTTTCTTTATTTCTTTCATTAATTTTTATTTGAAAATTATTGATAGGTCAAGATTTGAAAAATACTCACAACTTTTTTTTTTATAATTTTCTGTTGATATTTATTTCAATAATAGATGTTGATTGGAAATTTAAAAACAAATTTATAATGAAAAAAATAAACTGCAAGAGATTTTTGGAAATTCAAAAGGTTGAGGCTTTTATGTTTTAAAAATACGAGTTAAAACGATTAACTGCGGATGAGAAATAAATGAAACCATCGAAAAGAAATAAAGATTGTTTGAAGACATCATCTTTAAAACGATGAAGGAAACAAAAAATTATTTAAGGCTTTCCTTGTCCGGGTTCGACGCAAAATCTTCACTAGTGACATAAACTGAAAAGTTTGGAGCAGTCATGGAGCGCGAGAGTGAGAGGAAGAGTGACGAAGAGAGTGTCAACGGTCAACGCCGTGTGGGTATACTATACGATGACAGGATGTGTAGGCACCACACGCCCGACCATGAAGACCATGTCGAGAATCCTAATCGCCTTAGGGCTATTTGGAACGAACTCCAAAGCGCCGGCATTCTCCAACGGTAACTCATGCACGTTGCTCTAGGGTTTCGCTTCGCTAAATCTTTTTCTCTTATCTTTAATCTTGCTGATTTTCTTTACCGTATTTTAGATGCGTGCTTCTGGGGGCCAAGAAAGCCGAAGACACATATCTACATTTAGTGCATTCCAGAAGTCATGTAAACCTGATTAAGCACATTAGCTCCAGGAAATTCAATGAGCGGAGGAGCCTGATTGCCGCGGAATTTAATTCTATATATTTTAATGAAGGTTCATCTGAAGCTGCCTACCTTGCTGCTGGCTCTGCAGTAGAGGTGATTCTTTAGACGATTCTTTCATTATATAATACAAATTTATGAGATTTTTGTGTTTTTCATTAAATGTTAGTTTTTCCTTGTTTTATTGGTCTGCAGTATGAGGAAATTTAATAACTGGTCTTGACAATGTTAATCTCTGTCCCCAAGATTTCTTCAGTTGAATCCATTAAATTGTTTCAATTTGGCAGCTGTTTTTATTTTATCTCTCTCTGTTTTTGTTTAAATTACGGTTCTTGCCCAGTGACGTGGTGGACATATGTTCCTCTTCTTTTTGAGGCATGGTACTGCGAATAATACATTAACCGTCTGCATGCCTCACGCTTAATCTGATTAATATAAGATTTATATCTTATTCGTACGGTAGCTTTTTGAACCTAATTGAAGATCTTTTGACAAGTAGGTTGTTGAAAAAGTGGCAAGCGGGGAATTGGATTCTGCTGCTGCCATTGTTAGGCCTCCAGGTCATCATGCAGAACGTAATGAAGCTATGGGATTTTGTCTATTCAACAATGTGGCGGTTGCTGCAAGATATCTCTTAGATGGAAGAGTGAGTAACATAACATCTACAATCAATATCAATTTTACTAAAAAATTTTAGCCTTTAATAACAATCAGTTGCTTTTTTGCGACCTTTACTTTTCTGGTTTTTGCACGTGCGCGACAGCCAGAATCAGGTGTGAAGAAAATTTTAATTGTTGATTGGGATGTCCATCATGGAAATGGTACTCAAAAAATGTTCTGGAATGACTCTCGGGTTTTATTCTTCTCCGTTCACAGGTATGCTAATTTTTTTCGCATATTTTCTGGTCAGTTTTACTGGTTGGTGATCTTGTAATTGTTTCTTAGTACATCTAGAACGATAAAAATGTGTTGCCTATGGCTGTATTAGGTAATATAATGGGTTCGACTGCTAGATCATTTTCCCTTATTTTACTGGTTTTTTAGGGTTGGACCTCTTAGAAGGACATTCAATTTAATTACTTAAAGATAAACTTTGGATCGCTTTTATGGTTGATCACTTGATCCTCAATCAAGTAAACTTTTCTATTCCTACAGGCATGACTTTGGGCGTTTTTATCCTTCTAATTTTGATGGATTTTACACCAAAGTTGGAGAAGGAGCAGGAGTTGGATATAATATAAATGTCCCCTGGGAGAATGGGAAATGTGGTGATGCAGATTACTTTGCAGTGTGGGACCACATCTTGCTTCCTGTTGCCAAAGAATTTAATCCAGACATAATTATAGTTTCTGCTGGATTTGATGCAGGTCTGTTCTTGTAAAGTTTGAAGTTTTCTGTTATCTATGTGGGAGGGGGGTTATCAATTTTCTTCACATGGTTTTTGAGCATTGTTAGCAAGCATTTGTTGTTGAATTCTAGTTTACTTGTTTTGCAAGAAGGAAGTGGATTTGGGTCAGTTGATATGGTTTTTATTAATTTTTAAGTGTAACAAGTGCTCACTTCTTTAATTGTCACAGCTGTTGGTGACCCTTTGGGAGGATGTCGTGTCACACCATATGGTTATTCTGTTCTGTTGGAGAAGGTTAATTTAAAGATTAAATTTTAATGATTGCTCTCTTCACATTGTTTATTGTAATGCTAGTATGTTACTTGTTAAAACAGAACTGCTATATTTGAAGATAAGATTAATAGCAAAGCTGAATTAAATATGTAGGTTTATATGTATGGGCATTTATTATTTTTTCCATCATTATCAGCATACTATTTTTCTTCAGTTGTGCTACCTTTTTTTTTAATAATATTTTTATATTACTTCTCATTAATTTTAAATTTTGAAAAGATGTGACAATATATACTGATCACTGTATCATTAACTGTTATGTATGTTTTTACCTTTTTTTATTTCAGTTGATGAATTTTGCTGAAGGTAGGATTGTACTGATTTTAGAAGGAGGATATAATCTTGATTCCATTGCAAAATCAATGCGTGCTTGCTTGGAAGTTTTGCTTGAAGGCAAGCCTGTCACTGGATCCTTGGAGGAGGCCTACCCATTTGAGTCTACATGGAATGTGATTCAAGCGGTAAGAACATGCTATACTGATGTATGTATGTCATTTTCCTCTTAGGGAGATAAAAAGAACTTGTTTGTCTCTGTCTTTGGCAGGTTGAGATTATCTATTTCTTTCCTACCATAGACATGACATTTATGCTACTTGGGATGTACACAAAATTCGTTAATTTAGTGCTAAAGTTGCATGCACAATTTGCAGGTTCGCGAGAACTTAAGTCCCTTTTGGCCTTCACTTGCATCTGAACTACCACAAGAATTAATCTCAAAAGTGGGACCGCATCTGGTAATGTCCTCTCCATAATTGTTTTCATGGAGTTTTTACTAATTGCTGCCCAATGGTTACCAAAATAAACAGAAAATTTGGGTCGAACAAGGGACTTTTTTGTTTCACTAATGGGTTTGACCCCCTTTCTCTAAGCACTTCTTTTTTTTTGTTTTCATAAAAATTAGGAAACATCGATAAAAATATATTTGGGTACATTTTAGAAAAAAAGTTATTCAAAAATCCACTGAAAACAAAATAAAGCTTTTTTCAGTGTTTTCAAAGCAAGTGAAAACATGGTGGCCGTGTTATAATTTTATCCAGTGTTATCTTTCATGCATTCATTCCTATGTGTCTATCTTGTTTTCATTCCTTTCACATGTACAAATACTCATTCATTCCTTTACACCGGCAAATATAACAGAATGAGAGAAACTCTAACTTTGCACATTCATTCCTTTATATATGGGCAAGTACTCATTAAATATTTTGCTGATTTTTTCCCTTTGCAAGCATACTCTAATTTCGAGTTCTGAGGATGAGGATGATAAAGGTGCACCGAGCACTGAAAATCTTGAAGAACTTCTTGAGGATGTCATAAAACCACTTTCCGAACTGAAAGTTGATGCTGGTAAACCTGATCCCATGATTTTTTTATGATAGGAGAAACATATCTGAAGTATTAATATTTTTTTCTTTTCAACTCCCTGTGTTTTGCCCATTGATGTGTTTTATGAGACTGCTGGTTTTTGGTCCTCTGAATTTTGTTTTGATCCACTAGAGTTGGTGCAATACATTGACAAAAGGATGGGACATGAACTTTCTTCATCTATTTGTTACTTGACAAGTTATGTGCTTGATGCAGATGAAGAGATTGATGTTTCTAGTACTTGGCGATCTGAATTGTCAAATGTTTATATATGGTATGCCTCATATGGATCAAATATGTGGAAAGCTAGATTTAATTGTTACCTAGCAGGTGGACAGGTAATGCAACATTCAATTCATATTGCTTTTTTATATTGAAGTTGTGGTCTCTATGTATAAGGATTGAAAAAAATTCCAATTTATGAGACAGCATCACCCTTGCTTTATAAATGTAACAGTATTGCTACTGTCAAACACCAAAACAAGCACACGCTATAAAAATATAAACTAGTTAACAATAATACAATTTTGTTAAGTTATTCATTTTTGTCTGCTTTTGCAACTTTTTTCAAAATGCTCTCAAATGTCTATTAAGGCAAACATAGACTAGCCGTGGGTTTTTTTTTTCTTTGATTTGGAAAAATATACATATTGTAATCTGTTGCATGTGATAGCATTTGTTCAGTTTATAAGGAATACAAAACCTTCTCATTTTTTTGCTTCCATTATTTTTTTTTTCTGTAGCTTTGTTTCTTTTTGTTGTCTCCTATTTTTTTGAAGATTTTAAGAATGGCATTCAGGTGGATGGTATGGTGAAGCATTGTTCTGGTTCAGCAAACAGAACTCTGCCAAAGGAGATCCTCTGGAAGAATTTCCCTTGTCATATATTCTTTGGTCGTGATTCATCAGATTCATGGGGACAGGGAGGCGTTGCATTTCTTAATCCTGAGAAAAAGCTTACAGACAAGACCTACATGTGCATGTACAAAATTTCGTAAGTAAACCTCTGGTTCAAATCTGCTTCTGTTCGCACAGATAGTCTGTCTCTTTCAAAGCTTTCCTGTCAGAGCGTAACATTGTTGGATAATTTCTTGTGGGCTTTCTTATGTATTCAATGGAGGTCTTGACTTTAGATTCTCGTCCACATTTGTTACAGGCTAGAGCAGTTCAATGATATTTTATTTCAAGAAAATGCTTTAAGCCTTGATGCGGACTCTCCTTTATTTGATATAAATACCTTGAATGCTATCTCTGACAAGGAGTTCAACTCTCTTGAGGTTGTTAAGGTATGTATCCCTTCTCCCGACTCATTTTTCTGACAGTAATTAGTGCATTTATTTTTTTTAGTCTTTTACATGATTTAGTTACAGCGTCTTCTCTTTACCTTGTGTTAATTTCGTGCAGGGTGCTTGGTATGGTAATATTGTCTACTTGGGAAAGGAGCAGGATGTTCCAGTAATTACCATGACGTGAGTAACAAATTAGACTTTGTAGTTGTTTCATTGCGTAACTTAGTAGTTTGTCTGTATAAGCATGACATTTTAAGTTACTTTAACCAGGTGTTCGCTTCTTGATATTAAACGTTTCAAATCTGGGAAGCTACCATTACGTGCCCCTAATGAAGCGTACGCCAACTCCTTAATTAAAGGGTTGGTGGAGGGAGAAAAACTTTCGGAGGCGGAAGCCATTGCTTACATAGATGGTGCTGTTAAATCGTTGTGATTTGCACAGGCGTGTCTTTTACTTCGGGCGTAAATATGACACTACAACTTGTACAGAAAAAGCATTCCCTTCTCGACATTGGATAATTCAACCCCTTCAAGATTCGGCATTTTATCGTATTTTCGTTCGTAAACTACCCTTTTATTTGCTACAATGATGTTGCCTGAATTGCATGTATATCTAATTATTGTGGAGTAATAGATAGATTAGGGTTTAGGAGATCTTTGTCTTTTTTTAGTGTGACGTGCTATTTTTTTACTTGAGTTTCCTCATCATTTAGAATTCTTCCTTCAAAAACTTCAGAACTAGGTTTTTTTTTTTTTAAATGTGTTCACTAGGAAACGTTGTTTAAACGAGGAAATTTTAGTGATAACACTTCCTATTTTACTACTAACCCTTCTAAGAATTATTCAAAATTTTTGTTAATGAATTTTGTCTTCCATTATTACTATCAGTGGAATTTCATGTCGACATATAACATAACGAATGAGTTGAGTATGTCAATTTCTCATTTATCAATTGATCAGACAAACATTACACCGTATAACTCGAAAGGAATACCTCAAACTTTTGATAGAGCGAGCAGTTCAATTATCATTATTTTTGATCGTGAGTTGATTCACCTCGGATAGATTTTTAGTGGGGTTCAGGCACCACCTTCTCAAATTTTTGTAGTTACTTATATATTTATAATCTTGGACCATCTCAAATCGTTTTAGATATTTAAATTTTATGAGAGTTCAAAAGAAATATTATATAATACAGTTATGAGTTCACACTTATTTCTTTCTCATAAATATTAAAATAAAAAATTAAATATAAAAAGAAAATATTTATTATTTTAATTCCTAAAATTATTTGCAAAGATCCGTTATTACGCCTGATTTCGGTCATAAGAAAAATGATGCACTCTATTACAATGATTAGGTTATAGGTTTGAACCATATAGTGTGGACTCAAGAAAGTTTGATAATGCTTTCTTCTTGGCGCTAAATATTCATGTTTAGAAATTAGTATCTTCAAATAAGTTCTCAATATATTATGAAAGTAAAATTTAATTATAAAAGGAATGGACCAATATGTTTTGCTGCGAACCCATCATGGAATGGTTTCTAACGAAGAAAATTACGACACTCCATTAACGGCTGCGATTACAACCATTAGGAGTATCCATGCACCCCCAAAAAAAAGAGCGTCCTGAAATATTTTCGTATTAATTTTTTACTATTATAATACTAAAAAGGTTAAATGAATAACTAAACACGATGAATATTTTAAAAGATTAAAAATAGCATATAGAATCATTCAATAATCTTTCACTATCATGATCACAATACATCATTTAAACCTTTTCTGTTTTAGGGGTGAAACTGAAAAAATATCGACATATGAAGGGATCCATGTCTTTCTCAACTGTGGCAAAAATAACAGAATGCATTCTGCCGAAGGATTACTTGAAAATGATTTTAACACTATATTATGAATTAAAGAATGGACCAAATGATTTTTTTAACGCTTCCCTACCCTCTTATTATTGTCGCATGCCCAGCATCGCCAAGATGTTTATGTAATTTATTTCTGCGTAGCAAATCAGACGAAGTTATGCAACAGTTTTGTCTGATGGCAAGATTTAGTGTATTAGAAGAATATGAAATTTGATTTTAATAAATAAGAGACATAAATTACCTTGACTCAAACTCCTCTCCACACGTATCACAAGTATTGCTAATGTTCTTTGATGTCACCTTATTCAAGAAACAAAATCAGTCAGCTTATGGAGGCCCAAAAAGCAGCTTGATATAGTAAGGCAAGGCCAGAAAACATGATAAACCTTATCATGGCTACAGCTACATATAAACCACTGAAAGTATCTCTACAGAAAAACTATAACAGATAATAAAAATGAAAAATAATTGGACAGCTGAACAACTCAGGATTGTCATCTCAACAAAGGTATCATCGCTCCCTAAATGGTCAGAACAAAATGGTTAAGTATGTTCTGGTCCTATTCCTATTCTCTTCAATTCTGCCCATTTACAAGCCCTGTTTGGTTCGACGAAAAAAAGGGACGGGGAATACCATGCATTGCAGGTGAATGAAGGGAAGAGGGATAATCAAATTCATAATTAAATAATTAGAGCTTAGAATAGTCAAATAAAACTATTAAATTTAAGATAATTTTAGTCTAATTAATGTGAAAGAAACTCAATCTCACATCCAAATCTCCTCGATTTTGGGGGCAGCCAAAGTTGAGCGAACCCCACCCCCCCTCCCTCCCTGCCATTTCCCAACATTCTAATATATTAGGGTGACTAAGAACTAATATATACCACCACATAAAAATAATTTAAACATTACTTCAGGGTGTGATTCTACTTTTAAAATGCCCTAAACCTAAAGCAGAACACATACGTTATGTTTTGTCCGATTCAAGGTTTCAAATTGCAGGTGCAGCTATTGTTGTTGTGTTTCTAATCTTGCAAGAAACTGTGGACAAGTGCAGCCAATGCGGCTACAACTGTGGTTGTGGACACCCTAAAATCCTTGACATTGAGGCAAAGATCATTATCATGAACAGTTTTTTTAAACCTTGGTCCCAATTTACCCTATCTACCAAATGCTAACCTACCTTTAAAAAGTAAAAAATATTAGAAGAAAAATTCAGGAAACTACTAAAACAAAAGTAAGTGTAACACATCAGTAACAGCAACATGTTTTATAAGTCATGGAGAGCAGGTTTACGCGGAAGTTCTTACCTTTGCTTTTCTTCCTTTGGATGAAATTTTTGCTTTGGTTTTTGTGTCTTTGCCAGCTCCTTTTTTATCTGGTTGGTTTGAAATCTTTTTATCTCTACTAACCTGCTCGTTCCCTACACCATCACCCTCATTTTCCACAAAATGTAGGGAACAAGACTCCTCGGTATGAGAATTGTCATTTCCATTACTATTTAAATTCTCATCATTGCAACTGGAAGCAGCCCCTTGATATTCTTCCCAACTTTTCTTACTCTTCTCTTTCTTTGCTCCACGTTTCTTTCTTGTGCTCTTCCGGTTGTTATATTCCATTGGGTCAACCTCATCATTCTCATTTTCAATTTGAGATGGAGCTATTGAAACCTTGGGTTTGTGTATTGAAGCACGTGGTTTTCTGTTCTTGTGGCCAGCCAACATTGCTTCAAGAACACCATTTTCATCGTTGTCTTCGTATTCATCGCCATCATCATCATCAAGTTTAACCGACCCGTTGGCATCTTCCCCCTCTTTCACATTCGAAGCATAAAAAAACTCATCAACATCAACATCATCATCATCATCCAGTTCAGCCCCGTTTCTAGTTTCTCCCTCTTCAACATTAAGACCATCCCTAATCCTCGCCTCCAAACCACCATCATCATTCACCCCAACCCCATCTTCCTCACTTCCCAATCCCTCATTTCTTTCTTTCAAATCCTCCTCGTCACTAATGGAATCCCTGAACTCCGCAACCCTCTCCTTGTGCTTCTTGGACTGCTCATGGTTCTTCCATTGCTTCTCACTCTTAAACTTCTTCCCACACAGCACACAATAAAACTCCTTCTCATTCTTCTTCTCCTCCACCTCCTCAACCCATTCCTCCACCACCTCCTCCTCCTCCTCTTCGACCTTAGCCCAATCAGGCTCCTCATACGCCATGGCCCTCTCCTTCCTTTCCTTCTCCAACTTCTTCTTCCTCTCCCTTTCCTCCTCTTTCTTCTTCTCCATCTCCACACTCCTCTTCAACCTCATATCAATCACCCTCTTATCCCTCTTCTTCACAAAATCCCCCAACCTCCTCACAGTATCATTATACTCCCTTCTCGCCTTCCTCCTCACCTTATTATTCTCCTCCTCCATAAGCCGCCTGGACTTCCGGTTAGGCCCCGCCATAACATCATACTCATCCAACCAACAAAAATCCATCACAGTACAAAACCCTAGCCAATATGCATAAAACGCAGTAGCTTGCGCGTAGGGGCTTTCCAAGTTCCCCATGACAGGGGCCTGTCGAACAGCATCAACTCCCAGCCCCATTTTCCGCGCGAAATTGATTTCATTAGCGTGGATTTTATCGAAAACATCGGAATAAACTTTATAGAAGCCCTTTCCAGTGTCGGAGTAACCTGAATAGACGGTGTTGGAGAAGAAGGGGAAGAGGTCGGGGATGAGGAGGTTGGAGCGGGAGTTGGAGAGAGAATTGGGATCGGAGAATAGGATTTGGGAACGGTGGGAATCGTACCAAGCACGTTCCTTGGGATCGGAAAGGACTTCGTAGGCATGTTGGAGTTCCTGGAACTGCGCGGTAGCTTCCTCTTGGGAGAGACCCGATTTTACAAGCTTGTCGGGGTGGCGCTGAAGGGCGAGGCGGCGGTAGGAGGAGCGGATCTCGTCGGCGGTGCAGTCGATGGGAAGACTGAGTACTTCGTAGTGGCATCTCTTCGCCGCCGACGACGCCATTGTTACTTGTTAGGGATCCGGTTTTATGTATGATTCGGGTAAAAGTACTAAACATATATATAACAACAGGAAATAAGATGTATCTTCAAAATTTAAAAATAATTTATCATCATTTTTTAGATATTTTTATTTTATTAACTATCATATCAAATAATTAAAAAATATATATCTTTATATGTAATAAATATTATATAGATAAAGAATACTTTTTAAGTATAAGGTTATTTTAAAATTGATATATAATTTATACGTGACATAAAGCTATTTTAAACTATTTATAATCTTAATAAAAATGTATTAAAAATTTCATTAAAAAAATTCAAATTAATCGATGCCAAAAACTAAAAGAAATTAAGAAAAATATTGTTGAGGAATAACTCCTAAAATATTCTTATTCAATAAAATCATTATAATTTTTATATATTAGTTTTTTTTTTAATTTAACTTACTTTGTACTCCTCTTTCTTTCTAAATTATTGAATGTGATGTATCTGTTTTAAAAATATTGAATTTAATGTTCTATTTTTTAAAATATTCAATATTGTCCATGCATCCAATTTGATTAACGTTGGTAGCAAATTAAATATGTTTTAGAATTATGCTACCAAATTGAATATTATAAAACACTATCAAATTAAATAATTTTAAACCGTAAATAAAAATATAATTTAAGAACCGGATTAAGTTAGTCTTCTAATATATCAAACTGTTGTTAGTCTTCTAAAGATTTGTTTTCCTTAAACCTTTTAAATTTTAATAGTTGTTTCAAGAACCGGATTAAGTAGCCAATTCAATATATTAATTCGTTAACTTTAAATATTCTATTAATCTCGAAATAGATATTTATTGAGCCAATCCAAAATCAATAAAAGTATTAGGGTACTTGTTATAAGAATTGTGTATTAGCAGGATCATTATCATCCTTTATATTAATAAAAGTAACTCTTAGTGTGATCAAAATATTAATATTACATTAAATACCAAAAAAAATTAGGAAAGTTGTTTGTAAATAATTTTTTTAAGAAGGTTCCTTTGAATTAATATATATATTATAAATTTAAATATGTAAATATTATTTATATAAATATAATATTTGTATAATAATATTTTGTTTAAAATCTTAATTTTTTTAAGTGAATGAATATAAATCTTACACATTTTACGAGTTTTTTAATAATAATTTATTTAAAATAAATTTTATTAAAATATCAACAAATAGATTATGTTAGATAATTTCATAATTTTTTTGTTCTACTTTTTTATATGTAAAAAAAAATAAAAATCAATTGAGTCTCTGTTCCATCTTACAATAATAAATTATATTTTGTACACTTGAGGTAACATTACAATAAATTACAAATAAAAAATATTGATATTTTGACATTTAACACCCTAGTTCAATTAGATAATAATGAAAGGATTATGATATAGTGAGAATTTATTTTTTATTAACATTTATTTAATAATTATTTTTATTTTTTATATTATTATTTATTTATCTATTTATTAATAAAAAATAATATTTAAAATTATTTATTGAATATTGAGAAAGACTGAGGTGTTAATTTTTTAATAAATAATAATATTATAATAAGATAGGTAAAAGGAAATGGAGACGTAGGAGTGATGTTCATTGTAAGAATAAAACTTCCCATGAATAAAACACTGGAATTTTGTAAACTTCCTGCATAATAGGTTTCCTTTGCTACATGACACACCTTTGGCCTTCCTCCGCTATGAATTTATGCCACAAGGCATTTTTGTTCCCCTCCAACCCACCATTTCAAACCGCAATTCAACTTCCTCTCACTTCGATCTCGCCCCACTTCAACTTTAATTCCCTTCCAAAACCCACATTCCCTCATGCCACTGCAAATGCTACCAACGAAGCATCTATGCCAACCATGTCGCAAATTCTAGAAGCGTCGCGAGCGCAGAAGCTCGACCTTCACCTCAAAACTGTTGGACCCTTTTTCAGAATCACAGCAAGGAGCTTGGGAACCGACGCAGAGCTCGGAAGGGCCGAGGGGTTTGTAAGATTCTGGGTGGGTGGCAAAATCCTTCACTTGGACTCCATCAAACTACGAAGAGAAACACTGGGCATGGAGAAATCAATCTTTGGCCTTGGTTTGTTCATCGGAGCCGTTGCAATTCGACACGGTTATGATTCTGGCTGCAAAACAGCGCAGCTATTGGCCATTAATGATTCCGATCTTTACCATTCGAAGGTTCTCTTCTCACCAACCATATCCAAAACTTCACAGTTCCAAACTTTTACTCATTTATTCACGAGTTTAATGATATTTTGAACTTTTTTTATACTCTTCTTCATCTGGTATGATTTTTTTCATAAAAGTCAATAAATTTAGGACATTATCGATTCAGAGACTTAAAAAAAATAAAAAAATCATAGGATTTTATTTATTAATGATCTTATTTCGAAAGCATATGGTTATGTAGTACAAGGGTTGAATTTGATGTTGTTTTGACAGTTGGTTCGGTTCTACAGTAGACTTGGGTTTAAAGCAGTGTACGAGGTTACGGGGTCATCCCTTGGAGACGTTTGGCACATGCTTGTGTGGGGTGGTGTTGGTACCCGCATGGATGCTAGTGTTGAAGAACTGATGGTAAAATGGTGTACAAGATTTAAAGCGCCTCATAAATAGTTGTGTCAAGGTTGGAGGAGCAATTGAATTTTGGCAAAAGAAACATAGTAAGAAACAGGTATAGCAGAAGAAAAACAAAAAATGTCGTTTCTTTTTGTCGATTTCATCTGTTTGTTCCCATCCTAATGAGGGATGAATCTAGATATGGGTAAGGATACACCCAACTATATGTACAAATTCTAATTTTTTATATGAAAAAGTTACAATTTTATAGTTTGTTAAGTGCAATTACATACTTAAACCATGTTTTTGGGCATTTTATGTCGATTGAATCATTTTGTAATGGTGCCTTATGATATTAAATGATTTTTTTCTTCTTTGGCGCTTCTGCGGATGGAAATATGGAACTACAAGTCCGAGTTTTATTTTCTTCCAATTTGAATCCGTAGAAATTTCCTAGTTTTCAGCTGTTTAGTCAATCAATTGAAGGATTTAAGCAGATTCAGAAATAGTTTGTTTGATAGTTGGTTGTATTATGTCTAGTTACACGTTACTTCAGCTCTGTGTATAAAGTTTGCTGCCTTAAAAGTATGGGAGAATGTAATAAAAAATGGATATAAATTAATATTAAAAGTAAAGACTAGATAATTACAGAGTATAGTTGTAATCCTTTTTGTAAAATTTATTCATAATTTATACTTCTATAAGTATGGTTTGCTACGTGAGGTCTATAGGAAAAACCGAAATGGCATGGATAGATACTCAACTTACAACGATGAATGAGGACTAACGTATTTTCTTTCATTCTTCAATTGCTGAACCACTCCTTCAAGTTGTAGGAGACACCAGAGCAGCAAGTATATTTACAGATTCTCTGGCAAAATAAAAGGAAGCTGCCCAAGATTCTAAAGGTAACCCTGCTTACCTAATCAAGGTACAACAGATGTCATTCCTTCAGAATCAAGTTTAATAATTTTCCTTGTGGAAAACAAATCTAGTTGTGGTTTTGGTGGAAAATTTGGTGCACAACTCCGTCAATTCTCTTGCTAATTTAGATGGACCACAATAGAAAACCCCTGTACAAGAAAACCCACATTCTTAGTTAGGAAAACAATCTAACCTATATATTGTATTCTTATAATATTTGGATCAGAGTTGGGTAAAACTTTAGCCTCCAAATTAATTGTATATTTCTATGATTAAACAAGACACAAAGAATGGGAATGCATAACAAGAAAGGAGTTTCAGAAAAAAAATAAGTAATCCTGAATAACGAGGGATATTTTTCTCACCAATCTTGGCTCCTCCATGCTTGCGAGCCAATCTAGAAAATATGTTGAACCAATTTGGTCGAGCAAAATGTGTGTGTATCTGAAAATTTCCATAGAGAAATGTTTTTTTTTTAATCAAGCAATAGCAAAACATGTCTATATGTGACACAAATTATTCATTTTTTGGTAGTTGATATCAAGATTCTTCCAAGCGATTTTAAGTCGTAGTAGTTGATGACAACATTGTTTGAAATGACAAATTGAAGAACTTTGTCTAGTTATGCCAAACACAAGATATGCGAAAAGACATAACATATTCTAGTTTCAACCAGAAGGCATCAAACCTAAACTATCTTGTGTGTTTTTCTTTAACTCCAGTCCTGTAAGTTTAAAGCTTGCTTGAAATTATGCAGTTTGGCTACATATATTAGCCAAAAATAAGGAGAAGTGCACTTACTGGAGTCCTGGAAATTATGTCAGTGCCATTCTTGGCAAGATGCAAGGCCTGAATGACACTTAGCAAAGCTGAACGAATATCTCCTTCTGGATGTACACTGGTCAGGAAATTGTGCATCTCCACAACGGACTTAAAGGTTATCAGAAAACTAGATTGGTAAGAAAATGCTTGAAGATCTTAAATTGCATCAACGATATAGATTTTACCGTGAGCATAATGTGAAGGCCATGGTCAAAACAAATTGCAGTTAAGGCATACCTGCTTTTTGGTTGAATTTGAGATTTCCTTCATGACATCTCTAAACCAGTCAAAAGAGTTTGGCTCTCTTGTAACCCAATAAAGATATGCTTTTAATGGACCCTTTGGTAAGCTGCATTTTCTGAGACCACTCTATTTCAAATGCCCAAGTGTGGCATTTGTTTAAGGCAACAGAAGCAGAGCAATTGAATTTTAGTGAAGACATTATCACCATAGTAAGAAAATGCTTACATGAATAAACACAATTAAAAAAGCTTACATGATCAATTTGCGTTGTCTGGACACATTTAACTACATCTTTAAGGATGCTAATGAAAGGTGTGGCTCCTATGCCAAGACCAATTAGTACCAGAATGTCATACTTTACATGGTCTTGAGCAGCAGAACCATAAGGGCCATCTATGTACAGTTTTGGACATCCCTGTGATCGAGATAACACAGCCTGCAGATTGCAGAACAATTTTAAGTCCAGAAGAATTTAAGCATACTTTTGCACTTAAAATTTGCTATCTTCACCTCTTGGAATAGATCATATATTTGGTAGCTCCAGTCTCCAAGTGTTCTAATGTGCACACTGAGGTAGTCATCTTGTGGCCCTGAAGTCAAGGAAAATGGATGCCTGAAAATTTAGACAAAACAAACTCAAATAGAACATCAATATTGATTGACCAACGGCACATCACAAAAACTGAAAGGTGCAATGAAACAGGATATATTCGGTCGGATGAGCTCCTTTGTGAATTGAAATTACCTTACACACAAATTAAAAATAAAAGTTTAGAGAAGTTATGTAAGAAATTTCTGCAAATTAGTTAATGAATAAATTAATTTTAATTTATTAAGAAACTCATCTCATTTTGTCTTTTAAAAAAGAAAAGTGTTTATGACCAAACTTGATACCAAACAAATTGTTAATATTAAATAAAAATGGCACAATGTTGAATCTTGAATGAGATGGTCACATGAAGGAGATAAATGTACCATTCAAAAGGCGAAATTTGAGGGCACTGAAGGAATATATACATGCCACTGTGGAACTTGAAACCTTCTGGTTTTTGCATTTTGATGTACAGAACTTTTCCTGGATATAGACTGGCCTAGATGGATAAAAAAAAAAGGTGCATAAGATAATAACTATCCTTGTGAAAAACAATAAAAGAAATTGACAAATTTCCCATTTTGGGTTGTACCATAAAATTATTGACAGAACTTAAGCCCACAGATTTTACAAATACCTTCAAAATATCAACTTCGTAAGATCCAGATCTAAAGGCTCTGAAGATCCTCTCTCCAGTGTACAACAAAACTGGAAAAGCAATGTACACCCACGTCTGCACATGAAAAGATAGATGGAAATTGAATTTCTACACCAAAATTTGTTCCATAATTTTTTAAATTGAAAGCTTTGTAGGAGCTTTTGCAATCCTCTTAATCACAATGTAAGCAACTAGGAATAAACTAGTGGCGAGGAGTTTCAATAATTCAGAAGAGCTAATAATTCATCCTTCACATTCTCACCCTAACTTTTATTATTATTATTATTTTCCGATAAAACAAGTAAAAATTATGTTCCAAAATAATGTAAGTTAGAAAAAGAAAGAGCTAATAAATTGAAGACCTTTAGAGCAACTTTTGCTGCTGTCCTAATCACAATGATAAGCAACCAGCGATAAACTAGTTGTCGCAAGGAGTTTAAATAATTCAGAAGAGCTTAATAATTCATCATGCACATTGACCGCATTCTCGATGTCACATTTTTATATTCTTTTATAGTGAAACAAGAGAGAATCAATGTTCAGGAATCCATGTTAGAAAATAGCAAGAGAAACACGAGTAATAGAATACCAAGCTCGAATGAATTAGTTTTTCTGTTTTTACCATTGCGTGCATTGGTTTTAGATAAAAAAAACATCTTCATTATGTAAAACTTGATATTAGAGTTTCACAGAGAAACAGTTACAAATGTAAAGCACCAAAATCACGAGAAAGCAAATAGTAACAGGTAGAATAAGTGCGGAAAAAGACATGAAAAATGGGGTACCGTTTTCTCCATCAACTTGTCGGTTAGGAACAAGAACATGGAGTGAATAATGAGGAGGGCGTAGACAAGGACAAACAAATGGTGAGAATACCAAAAGGTGTTGTACCCAGTGACACGACGGAGGGACACGGGTAGCACAGGTGAGCGACGCCTTGGCCACTTGGTGGCTAGTGAAAATGCAACTCCCATTAACACCACCATGGCTATCCCACTTGTCACCTCCGTCGTGGCCAAAATTTGTGCATACGTCGGTCGGTGGTACCCAAATCCTGCGGCAATTGTTTGCCGGAATATTGATCTGTCTGACGCACTAATTCTTGGGAAATCACACGCAAGGTGTGTCCCTCCGTGCAATATCACTCCTACCACTATTCCTGCTGCAATAGCCTGCATATGTAACCCAGAAACTTTGTTTATCCACATCAATGTTATCGTCAATGTTACAATGTGTTTTTGCTTGTATTTCTTAGAATTTTGGTAGGAATTCAATCTCAAAAGTCTGATCAATGAGTAAAGATTGGCCCCTGTCTATATACACATACACATTTCCTGACATTATTTTAGACTATGAAGTTTACAAGATTGAATGTCTGCTAGTGATTCAATACAGATGATCCTATAGCCCAACAAACAATAGAATTGAAGAGGGAAAAATCTTTGATATTTTAGTTGACTAAAGTTCAACTGTTTAAGACCTTAATTTAGATAAATGCAAAACGGTCATACACATCCATCTTTTTGGTCTGATAACCAATAGTTGAATCCAAAAACTATTTACCAAAATCAAAAGGTGTCGGTGGTCATGTCATATACATGCATCTAACAACAATATATTATCGTATCATTTAGTTAATTTGTATATCTATACTTGAATCCTAATTTGTTTACCACAATTCAAAAGGAGTTGGTGGTGATATATACATGCATCAAACAAGTATATATTATCGAATCATCTAGTGAATTTGACATCTTATCTAACTCTTCATATAATATTCAATGTTGTGTATCAATATTAAATCAAAGTTTAATATGAATCATTTTCAGAATTACCTTATGCCTTAAGAAGCATAAACAACTTGCATGGAATAAGGGGAAAATTAGAGAACCTGTGTACCTTGTGGAAATTAATGTTGTCGTTAAACGGAATGACAGAGTTGATCGGACGGTGCTTGCGGAGCCATGTGATGGTGTTTCTACAAACAGGGAGAAGAACGAGAGCCATGTTGAGTTTTAAGGTCTCAGCTGCACCTTTAGCCGTGGGAAGGCAATAACCCATTACTTCAAAACCTGATCTATGGCGGTACTGAACAAACTTCCACACAAATAACCCCAAACATGCAAGAAGCCAAAGTAGAATAACCCAAGCACGTCGCCAATAGGTTCTGAACAGCACTTCTGTCCTTGACATTGGTTCATGTTGTTCACAAAAGTCACCACTAGCGGTATGAACATTCTGGGTGCTTCCTGTTGTTGCTGATACTTGTTTCATTGGAGAGTGTGCCTTTGACAGAGTTGCCTTGAATAGAGACTCCATTTGAGATATCTACAAATGATGAAGAATCTTTCTATTTAAATTAATAAAATATGGAATAGGGTCAGTTAGTAATGGAGGGGTTGAGGCTTGATTGGCACCTCAATGTAGCCCTTGTTTTTCTTGTCGAGAGATTCCATGATCAAAGAAGCATAGTTCTCTGCTTCATCATGTGTCACGGATAACTTATTTGTAGAAGCAGTTAATAAAATTGTCTGTATAAGGTACAAAATTATCATAATCACAACAAACACTTATATACAGAAATATGCCAATTATAATTGACGGTTTGAACGCAGGCCACCTAGAATTAATTATAGGAACACATCATAGAGTTTGTCTGCGGAAGGGCCAAAATCATCGCAAACATGCGGAACAAGACAATTAACATATGCAAATTTAAGCAGCACCAAGTAAAGTTAACTATGAATTAAGTCATTAAATAAATAATAACCTGCTTTATATCTGTCTCGGTAATTCTTCCATCCTTGTTTCTGTTACACCTAAAGTAAAGCAAAGGAAAAATTACTAGTTGATTTCAGAATTGTGCTGAGAGCATTTTGCAAAGTTTTCGTTATTACATGTCAAAGAAGATTCTCATTCTTGAGTTAAAAGAATTATCCTTCATCCGAAACCAAAGATTGTACAAATCAGTTTTGGTGATTTTGGATTTCCAACCCTCGCCGCCTCTCAGTGCACTGAGTAATTCGTTGGCAAACTCTGGTGACGATTGCATCCCTATAAAATAGGAAATAATTGAAAGGGGAAAATTAACACAATAATTGGAAGAATAAGATCAGAATTAAGTAAGAACTGGTAGGTATAGATAACGCATTTGGTTTTTTATTATCATTAAAAAAGTATTAAGCTAAAGGAGACTTAAAAAAGGAAACAAGTTGTCTTATATTCCGGCACTATAGCGTATCCGAAGAACATGGCTAAGGTGGCTAACTGCTCTGTTCGCTATGATTCTCTTGTGTGATTTGACTAGTGCCAGATGATAAACAAAAGAGACACCGAAATGGACTTATCAATATCACAATGAGCATCATGCATTAATGCATCATGAATTATTATTGTATTTGTGTCGTGAAACCAAGTGATATAATGTTACAAGAACTGTTGACTTTAGTTTCCTATTCTCACCAATGCAGAAGCCAAATTCGGGCCATGTCACAACCGGTTCAGTGCCACTTCCGGTTCGGGCCACTAGGTCGAACCGTCTCTCCACATCCCTCCACTCCATTCCACTTTGACCAACAATGCCATTGATGAACCCAACTCCTTGAGTTGTTTCATTTTCAATTATCTGAGAACTTGTTTGATCTGAACTCAAGTTTGTTGTACTGTTAGGATCACCTTCATGCCGAACTTTTGATCCGGTCTGAACCGGAGACAAGGAATGAAGGACTTGGGTCCAAGAAGAAGAAGAAGAAGAGGAGGTGGTGGATGAAGATAATGAAGAAGAAGAAGGTGATGATTTGAAGAGAGTAATGAGGGAGCGTTCATGAGGAATTTTAGACTTTACAATCCCATCCATTGATGGGTTGTGAAGAGAATTGAAGCTTGGTTAAGTTGTCATGGAAAGTAAAGGTTTTGTTTCCATCATATTGTAAAGAAAATGTGGATTGAATATGTAATGCACAATGGTGGAATTAATAAAAAAATCATTCAGGGAAAGAAAGTGAGTGGTTTTCTTGAGGAGCATTGAATAATAATTGGATTGATAAAGTTTGACCAAGGAAGGAGCTAGAAAGCAGGTAGCAATAGTTGCTGGATATGGATTTGTTTATACTGTTTTACAGAGAGATATACAAGAAAGTGGCCATTTTCTTCCCTGCTAGTGTAGATTTTTCTTTGGAACTGAGTGGTTGAGTGAGGGAAATGAAAGAAAGGCAAGTTATTGAAAAGAATAATAGATCATGCGTATGGTTTGGTAGGAGTGTGTGGACTACGTTATAGAGAATGAAGTTAATAAATGGAGGTTTTGTTGGAAATTTGCCAGATTGGGAGAGGATGGCGATTAAGTAAGAGCAGGTGAAGATTGAAAACAAATCCACGCAATGGAAAGGGTGTGAGATATTGGTGGTTTTGTGTGTTTGTGTGTTGGTTAAAGATGGGAGGGAAAAAGAGTACATGCTTCACTTCTAGCTAATATATGCATCATGAACAGCTCATAGTTTGCAACGTAAGCAAGCAATAGAATAATAATAGAACAATGATTTATTGGGAAAGGAATGACGCGTCTTTCATACTTTTTTATTATAATTTTTGGCTCTGCTTTTCATTTACTCCCATGTAAATTTTACCACCCATTTATAAATTGATTGGAATATATTAAAAAAAATTATGACGAAATTGTAAATTGCTTCTAAATTATATAAAATAAAATAAAAACTGTTTAATGTCAACTAAGTCATAAGAGAATTTCCAAAATAAGAGGATACCATAAAAGTTATCTCACATCCTGTTATTAGAAAAAAACCTTTTTTCCTTTCTACATGGTTCTAAGCAATTTGGAATCAACTAAATGATATTCTCTTTTGAATAAACATGGCATAAATGCTCATATTTTAGGTAGGTTAGGAATCACAACACAACATTCCTAAACCAACAATAGCAGCATACATCACATGCATACAAACATATAGTAAAATAGGTTACAACTCCCAACTTACCTTCTTGTTGAAAGCATAATTCACCCATAAAAAAAAAAAAAAAAACTAATGAGTCACAAGCCAAACTATTAAAAAATAATAAAAAATATAAATATGAAAAACTAAAAATAAATATATTAAATAAAAAAATGAAAACAATTTTTCACTAAAAATCGTGTGAAGATAAAATTTCACCAATCCAGTAGTAGTTCCTGGATACAAAGACAAAATAAATAAATATTCTCTAAGTAATAGTTTAATGCATTAACTTCTATAAAGCCAAAATAAACAAATTAACATCGATTGCTTTCTAAAATAAAGAAGAGGTTGAGAGTTTTAGTTGTCTTCTTCCAATTTCTGACAAAGTTAAACACTGATGGATCAACATGCTATAGCAGATTAATGATCTTGTCATGCAGAAAAAAATTGAGTCAAATATGTGGATCTAATAGGCTTAATTTTAATATAAATAAAACATTAAATGTATTTTATCTTTTTATGATAGTAATATACATCCACTTTTTATTTCATTTTATATTACTCTCTTCATTCCTTTTGATAAGTCTATCAATTTATATATTTTATAATTACAAGTCTACCCTTAGTTTTTAATTACTCAATTTTTAATTATTCTAAACCACTTTTAATAAGTTATATTCTTCCATTTTTTTCAATATTGAATTGTATTGGTATATTGAAAATAATGGGATGCTATAGAGATAATTAAGGTGGTGAAAAAAAATGGAATTGGTGAGAAATTTTAGATAAGGATGATTTTGAAAAAGTTATATTAGTCAATTTTTTGAGAGAAAAAAGAAGAAGAAGAAGACTGTATTAACTAATTTTAATAAATTTTCATTTAATGATTTGGTTAAACATTTTAAGATTAATGTACAAATTTTAATAAACTTGAATAATATAAAAAATACCATTACATCTAAACTTAAAAAAAAATTCTATGATATAAGACGCATAATAATTAAGGATGTGATGATAGGAAAAAAATTGATCAGTCTTAAATTTTTTTAACACAAAAGTTTTGAAGAAAAACAAAATATTTAAAATAATGTAAGTTTAGGAAATACTTATAGAATATTAATATGATTGTGAAAGGTATATTTGAATTGAATATTGGAGAAGATTCAATCTTTCATAGGATTATTTTCTGCTATATTCATGGATTTCACATTTGTTAAAAAAAAAGAGTGACGAATGAAAATGAATAATAAGTTTAAATAGATCTCCTTTCTCAATTATAAGGAATTTGTTTTAATGATTATTATTTTGTTTTCTCTATAATTTTTTACCATCTAAAATTCGTAAATAAATGTAACTCAATATATTGTATTAAACATATTTTTTATTATATACCAAGTTGGTTCGTATTATTATTTTATTGATATGTGTGTAATATAGATTCAGTTAATCACTGTACTAATTATTCTCATTAATATAGGCTTAGTTGTGAAGGTATATATTATATATCTATCCTATCCTAGTAACGTAATGTGTCATTCTAACAAACAAATTCTTATAGTAAAAAATTATTTGTCAACATGACTAGTACATGACAAATCTTCAATTATATTATATCAATAAAAATAATTATAATAAATAGTAAATTTCTTTGACAAAATTCTAAAACATTTTCATAGTAGCTTTTAATAATGTTATTATTTTCTTTAAATTTCGTCATATCATTTATCAAGCATGACATGGTATTTTTTTTTTAAGTGAAGGTTAAATAAAAACAATTATAAATTTTTAATAATTAGTAATAAAATAAAGACGTAATAAAATCATATTATTAACATTAGTGGAGTTCAAGATATGTTTATAAACAGTTTGTAATCGGAAGCATTTTCTAATCCAGTGATTATTTAACCGCAAAAACTTAATTTTTAAGCATGTTTCCTAACTCTCAACACCACATGTGCTTCAACACAACTTTTCAACACAAAGGGAAATAATAGAGAATATTATTTGTGAAGGGGAATTTCAATAGGTAATGTTTGAAGGGGAAAACTATGTGCAGGAAATATTCATAGGTTTGAATTTTCGTTGTCGTTATTAGTCGTGTTACAAGTGCTGCCTTTATTATTATTATTATTATTATTTTTTCTTTAAGTTTGAAAATAAAAAATGATAAAATACTTAAATTATATAATACTAATTCACCAGTTCATCAGTGCAGATCTTCTAAAACTCATTGAATTCAAATAATGTGGACAGACAATAAACTGTCATTCATATGTGTTAAAAATAATTATTAAATTCTTTAATAAATACTCATCGTGAACAAATTTAATCAATATTTCATATCAAATATTAGGGCAAAAAACATTGACAAGAAAATAAAATCATAATCTAATATTGTTTACAGTTTTGTTTCATTGCAAAAAATATTGAAATTACCGACTGTCAAAATTAGTCGGTAAATATTTTACTGAAATTACCATTAGTAATATTTTTATTATTTATTACATTTTTATTTATTACATTTTTATTTATTTTATAACTTATTTTTAGGGATCCCTCCCCCTTTACAATTTTAAAAGACTAATACTCCAACTACTAAGCTATTAGAATTTTTCGATAATAATTAAGAAATAAATTATATCTATATACAAATATATTTATATATAATTAAATATTTATTTTTTTAATTATTTAATTTAATAAATTATTATAAAATAATCTAATTATGATTAAATTAAATTATTAAATAAAAAAATATTTAATTTTTTAATTAGGTGAATAATTAATTTATTAGAATATATTAAGTAATTATTATATAATTTTATTGACGGATATATATGTCGGTAATTAATTATTAATTTACCGATGGATTTACCAACATAAATATTCGTCAGTAAATAATTGTTAATTTACCGACGGATATATTCAGTCGGTAATTAATTGTTAATTTACCGAGGGATAACTAATTATTATTTTACCGACGGATATATTCATCGATAAAACCAAATTCTATATCCATCCGTCATGACTCATTTTCCGACTGACCACAAATCAGTTGATAAAAATCCGTCGAAAATATACGATTTTCTTGTACTTGTTTGGAATTAAATGGTTAGAAGATTATTTGTCTTAAAACTTAAAAATTGAACAATTTTTTTGTTCTTTTCAAATAAAAAATGGAAAACAATAATTGTGATTTTTTTTTCATGACTAAACTATTAACCTCTATTTTAAATACTTGCATTAATTTTATTTTATTTTAGAATATGTTTGGAATGGGATTTGGAAGAATAGGAAAGATAAAAAAATATATTGATTTTAAACTTAGGGACTTATATAAACAAAATTATGATTTTAATTTTAATTTAATATACAAATTTATTTCTTATTTAAAAGAATATTTTTTAATAATACTTATATGATAGTATATATAATAAAATTTCAAGTTAACTAACTTATAAAATTATAAATTCAAATAAATTATTTTTTCTAAAATTATTATGCAAATTGAAATCTTAAGAATATAAATAATGCACATCTAACTACTCTTGCATATATATATATATATATATATATATATATATATATATATATATATATATATATATATATATATTAAAAGTAACATAAAGTAAATAATTTATCTTATTTTTTATTTTAGATTTATTTTTATCGAGTTCGATAATTTGAATTATATAAATACATAATTTTTACATTTTAAAAGTAATATATGCATAATAAGTAAATTTTAAAATAATTTATGAAGATGAATGTTTTTTACTAAATAGAAATCGAGTATTTTCTCACATCTCAAATTAATATCCATATTATATATATATATATATATATATATATATATATATATATATATATATATATATATATATATATATATGTTAATGGG